TGAATATGCATGTAAATGAGCAGTTCAGCACAAGAAGTACAAGAATACGCACACGTGAATAAATATCTAAAAAACGTTCGGTTGTATAACGTTGTCCAGAAGAGCCATTGGAGATGTCTTGAAAGTGGTTAAAGCGACAACATTGGTTGAAGCCGTCGAAGAAAAGAAAATATTTTCAAAAGCTGTTAAGTAGTCGCGATTTAGCTGATTGTCCACCACATCTTTTAGCACAGTGAAAAACTTAAAAAGTTTGATCGGAATGTACTCCCTGCGACTTTGATTCCTCTACTTTTTACATTCACCCTAGAGAGTACTATTTAGAGAACATGAAGAAGAAATGGATTCGGCAGTTTTTGTTTTTTCAAGGGTCCGATGTTTTATTCTATCAGTGTAGAAGTATATGATGTTCAATACCGACATGGCAGAAACGGAAGATCAGGAACGAATTTCGCACGTTCCTTGTTTCTGTGTAAAGTGTACAGAAAAGACGACCACGATATCTTACTGATCATAAAGGGCGACATATCGACAGTCGATATTGACGTTCAACAATGGCTCACTAGCTGTTAATCGTTGTTTGAAGTCTAGAAACTGATCATTTGTGTCACCCACAACAAACTTGGCAGTAAACTGACTGGGTGAAGAACCAGCCTGCGAGAAAGCACGGTGGAGAAAAGACTGTGATTGATCATCCAAGTTTACATCATTCTCAGAGTTGGTGAGTAAATTCACCTTCTTTTGTTCTTCTTCGCCAAGAACCGCACTTATCTGGGTTCATACCAGAGAAAACATAGGTCTACATCCAACCTATTATTTACGCGTCCCTATCTTCATGACTTTAAGACATCACGCGGACTTATTTTTTCCACAACACTAATTGACATCAATATGTGGATTCGGCAAGGGAAACAATATATTTCCGACAAAATTTCGCATCGCTCTCGACAATGTGGTGCGGAAGCGAAAAGTGAGATTTCACCAGCGCTACTCTGAAAACGAAGTATGAGGCAGTTCCGATTCTTCAAAAGAAAAGCATTTATTGGGTAGTTCTTCCATTCGAAAAACACCACTGCTGGACTTTGCCGACCCCACTCGACTTTCACTGACTCAAATAACACAGATCACTAGTACACACGATTTAAATGCCGCTCTCATGATTCACGAAGCGACTTCGAGGAGAAATATCATTTGAGAAATAAGGATATTGTTGAAAGTAGGTTTTCAATTCAGTTATGTCTCTCTCCGCACAACTGGTCGAAATCGTGAGTCAAGAACACTCGTCGTTGTTGTGAAATATAGCTTCTATAATGCTGAGATATTTGTAAAACACTGGACTGCTGGTACCTGCGGTGGAGAACGAACGCGCTATTATTCTTTCCGGGGAGTAACGCGTTCACCACCACACCATGCGGGTCCTTCGTTTCGCCTCTCAGCTAGTTCTATTGATTACTGCCATCAGCAATCATCCGTCAATGGGATTGATTTGGGGAGCCCAAATCTGCATTGAACCCAATTAAGTTGAGGCTATAGTTATGATCACAATCTTAACATTTTTATTTATTAGCTGGGAGAAGGCGAAACGAAGGACCCGCATGGTGTGGTGGTGAACGCGTTACTCCCCGGAAAGAATAATAGCGCGTTCGTTCTCCACCGCAGACACCTGCGGTCCGGAGTTTCGCAAATATTTCAGCGTTATAGAAGTTATATTTCGCAACATACCCTGCCATTAAAAGGAATAGGCAGTAAATAAAAAGGTTAAGTCGATATTTTTCTTCAATAAGCAGACACGAGGTTGTTATTAATAACATTAATTATTAATAACAACCTCGTGTCTGCTCATTGAAGAAACACATCGAATCAATCAATGCCGAGGGGTTAACGGAAGGTCGGTCTTGGGAAAAGGTTAAGATTCGTCGGGGTGTTTTCTCAAACAAGTGTTTTTGGGAGCTTGTGAGTAAGTGGTAGTCGAATTTGGTAGATCATAATAGTTGGAGCGAGATTAGCACTCCTCGCTAGTTCTTTTTCCTAGTTGTTTCAAGCTTTCTTCATGAATTGAACTTGGTTTTGTATAAAATTGATAGTCATGTAATCAGTGGCAAACTGCGACATGTGATGTTCCACCTGAGACTCACTTACTTTCAGGTGATAGATTTCTTGTGTCATCTTGCTCGAATCGTCTTATACATGAGCGTAGTAATGTTTATGAAAAAGAGATTCGATATGTATGCATGCGCGTGGGTTATAACCTCCTTCAAGTCGATTTGACGAAAGGCCTGTCACCAATTTGATGAAAAGTGTATGAGGTGGTTCACTGTTTCCTCACGTTTACCTCAAATAACCCTGGAAAGCCAAGTCAGTCACAGGTAATTTAAAAAGATCACTGAAAATGAGTCCTAGCACAGTAGAAAGGAGTATACAGGACAAGTTTGGCACAGATCTTACTGATGCCCAATGTAATCTACCGATGAGTGGGAGAACTGCAGGTTATAGAGCTGTCACTGCTCAATTGTTAGCGTGACTTTTAATAAAGGTAAGCTGTTTTTACTAGAGAACGTAGAGTTTAGCTGTACTTTTTCTGTGATTTCTCAATGTTTTCTGTGCCGCGGCTTTTGACAAATTTCGAAATACTTCATTCCTTAAAATGTCCTTTTACTGGAAAAGTGACTTTTCCTATGCTTCTGTCTTCTTGTGCGGCGCAGTGGTCGAAGGCGCCCTGCAATACACACGTAGAATCGGTCCCCGCCCCTATGGCCCACCAAGCTCTCTATTCCTACGGGGCTGGCAAATTGATACCAGACTTATCTGAGAGGATAGCAGCACTGGCTCGATACATCGGTAAGCCGCCGCAAGTTATTGTAAAGGCCAGATATGCGTTCAATTACCTCCACTTAATGCTGCTTAATAAAGTCGAATGCATGGCGCATCCCTCAGGGATTGATTAACGCCCAGAGCTTTATCCTTTTTATCTGTTTTCTTTGAAGACTTGATTTCAAACCCGTTAGAAAATTTTGTTCTTCTTTATACGGAGTCAATCGGTTTGAGGCACTTATTCGCTGTCACAGGTTTAATTTACGCTGTGTTTGAAGCAAATGCAAAGTAATGGGGAATTTATGATATTTTTGGAGATTATACACATCTGTTCTAAGTGAAGTTACTCTTTAAAATTATCTGTCAGAAATGTTTCTAACTATACGGTCTCAAATGGGATGAGAAAATCCCTAGGATATTGCTTGTGGACGAAAAGTAGCAGCCAGCTTTTCGTTTCAGTTTGTTCTCCTAGTTCACAGTGCCTTTACACTGCTACTAGTTAATGGCATGAAGTCCGCAAACATTTTAAATGGTATGCTCCGATTGGCACATGAGTGTAATGCTGGAAGCTTCGTCTGGAATATTCCGTTAAACGAACAAAGTCCATCGCTCTGCTGCTGGCGATGATGGACCGTCTCTGCACTCGTGTTCCAATTGTTTGCTGAACAACTGATTTTCCGCAGTTTTTTTTTGTGAAGAAATGTTTATTTTGTTCGAAAGTAGTCATTTTTGTGTTTAGATGAAGCAAATTGGAGACTAAATTACGATTGATTCTTTAAGCTCTGGTGGGTTTCTTAGGTATGACATAGATTGCCAGAGCGCCGAATTACTATCGCATAATTGGGTTTTCCATTTCATTAGTGGGGCATCGCTGCTAGTCAGTCATCTATTCTCTTTTGTTCTGTACGCAGCTGACTGTCTGTTCACCAGGATCCGTCACACATTTATTGATTTGTTCATAAGTGTTGTGTTTTATCACTGAATTTAGTGCTTGTAAGTTAGGATTATCGAGATGTTTATTAAAGAACGTATAGTAGGCGCGATTTTCGAGTCAGTCAACAATCTCATTCTTATGCAACTATGGAACATCGTTGTATTATTGATTTTACTATATCCAGAGTGTGAGTGGTGCTTACATCTTTTACTGCTTGAGCGCTTTCCCGCAGTGGTGACTCGATTATCGTTTCGATACGGACGGAATTCTAATGATGTGAGGGGCGTGCAACTTAGTTAAGGGTTTCCCAGGGGCTGTATTATCGGTGTTCTTAGTTTTTTTTCACAAAATTTCGCTGTCTAGCGATCACCAGGTAGGGTAGTGTGTAGCAGGAAATCATAATTAGTTATGAAAAGCGGGGCAATTCTAAGGTACATCGTTGAATGATTCAGGATCACCAGTGGTCGTTGTTTGGTGAAAAACTCAGTTCTCATTTTAGTGCGTTTTGCTCGGTGGACACAAGCTGTTAAGCAGGTGTCCCCAATTGGTCATGAAACATAGTAAACTCCGCCAGATACCACGCTTGAGTAAATCTTGCAGTCCTCAAGAACAAATGAACCCTTTTTGCTCTTCCCTCATCTATTTTGTCTCGCCCAGTCCAAAGATGATGCTATTGTATGCTATTTTCCGATTCAGTTTTTAGAAGTGTTTCTCAAATCTCCTTATGTGGATAATACCATCATCTATTTTTAATCTAAATCATTTGTTCTGTTGAATTTCAAAAAAACTTCGATTTAATACAGCTATTTTTCCAGTGGTAACCAGCAGCGTGCTTGTGCATACCTATTTCTGTAATTAACTTCTGTACTCTGTAGATGTTGCAACTTTGGGTTTTACGCTCGAACGCTCATCCCACGACCAACTTTATAGCCAGTCGATCTTCCCTCCTACCTAGCTAACTATCATTCGACCGCTGCTTTCTTTGTGCCTCAGGGAAATGATCTCGAAAAAATGTGAGGTTTCCTGGGTGGATTCCTTTAAGCCTTATTAGCGTTGACGTGATCTACGAGTGCGTAGCGGATTGTTTTCCCATTAGATGTCAACAGGATAGTGTAAACAAAATGAGATTGAACTCTTCCGAGATTATTAGAAAACAGTTCGGCCGGCTAATTGGATGTCAAATCTGTTGAAGTGATTATTTTTGACACCTTATCGATCGTATATGATGTGGCCGATTTCAGCAACACTGTCGAACGGGATGAAAGCTACGGATCCGCTCATGCAGTCGTGGCACAGCCAAGCGAGCGGCCACCATGCCACTAAGGCCATATTGAATTTTCTCAGGTACGCAGTCAAGTGAAGCCGATAGATCTGACGCCTTCTAAAATTCACTCGTTTCCCTTTTCAGGACTCAGCGCGGATTTATACTCACTTAGTTAAGATTGAGAATTGATTGTTCGTCTATTCTATGAATAGCATCTAATTTCGAGCGCGAGGATAACAACGGACCGGCATTCACTTCAAGCTTTGCGCTTTTAATTACGTCTAGCGGATTTGCAAGCTTTCGTTCAGCAGTTCTCACTTGGCAGAAACCTTTGATGAGATTCCGTTGTGAAACCAAGGGGTTAAGCCTCTGTAGGAAACATGGTGTCTTACCTCGAACAATCTCTCGAATAACCTCTTCGGTAAACTTTTCGATTTGATTGGCGGTGTTCAGTTAATAAAATCGCATTTTTACTCGGTGTTTAATCGACAAACACCAATCCAGTGATATGTAGACACACATAGGCAAGACACCCTTGCGCAACTGGTCAGTTTATTTATAACTGACGGTCTGGACCGTTAAAATAAAGAAAAAAGTGAAAGTTGAAAGGAAATACCCTCGGAATGTTCCTGCTTCTTCTAGAAAATGTATGGCGTTATTGAAAGCAACAAACGGACTAGCCATCAGAAAACAAAGTTTGTGTTCACTTTCTCTCCTAAGCGACTAATTTGCTCATTCGTGACTTTCAAGTTTTTCTCGTTTTTAGATAAAATTAATTTTTGGGTGGAAATGATGTCTATAGAAACTTTTTATTCGACAGAATCCAGCGTGACAAAAGCTTACTACATTAAAGTAAACAGTTAAGGCCATCACGATCGCGATCCAGCACTAACAATGAGCTGGTTGCGGTGTCAAGGCCAGTCCCTTCGTGTCCAAACTCCAGCACCGTAGGCGACTTCTCGCATCTACGGAAGCGTCGACCGAGAAGCGCTCATTATGATCCGAACACCATCACGCTGCCCGAAAAACAGGTGAAATCCTTAGCAATGTTATGGACGACGACCTTGATCAAGCCCTAAGTGATCAATTATGCTACCTTTCTTGCGTTCCCGTTCACTAGACGCTGAACGTTACATCCACAGTTTGGTTGATGTGATTCTACACTGTTGAAAGGTTCATGTTTAGTTTTCACAGGCTGCGACGCTATAAATTCTCAGCAGCAGGTGATGTGGTTGTCTTGGCCTGGAATCAGAAATGAGAATGTGGCACTGAACGACATTGAACATTGTCTTTTCTATGAATTTTCACTAAAATTCAAGCATCGACAAAGTATTTCACGAAATTCCAATTAGAATAGTTGGATTAAAATAGTGCGGTATCTTTGAGTACCCTTTTGAGAGCATTTCTTTTGAGCGAAGCCGTGAAGAAAGTTGCAGTCGTCTTTATTACGAAGCAATAGATGTTTCTTAAATTCCGTTCTACTGTTGAATTTTTGCGTTTTTAATTACTTCAAATATATTATGAAGAAATGTTTGGCATATAAGGATTACACAAGTGCTTTGGATAAAATCACGATCGCATCGAACTTGACCAATAATGAAGTATTACCTATACTAAAAATAGGGCGAGTGTGACGCAGTGGTCAAGGGAGCCACGCACCACACATGGAATCGATCCCCGCGCCCCTGGCCCGCCAAGCTCTCCATCCCTCCGGGGTCGGCAAATTGGTACCAGACTTGTCTGGGGGGAAAACAGCACTGGCTCGATACATCGGTAGGTCACCGCGAGTCATCGTAAAGGCCACACATACATTCAATCACTTCCAAAGGGTGCTTAATGAAGTCTAATGCATGGCGCAACCTTCAGTGATTGATCAACGCCGAGAGATTTATTCTTTTTATCCTATTCTAAAAATAGGATCTGGACGTTCTAGCATTGGAAAAGACTGCAACCCGCGAAGCATAAATAACTAGGGTTAAATACAGAGTTAAAAGAATAGTGCTAGTTTTCAAAAGAATGTTCCCCAATGAAACTAATTTCGGACATACTCTGTTTAGAAAATGACACCAGTCTAAGAATATATAACGAAAACATATGATGGTATTCAACTTAAGGATTATCCTGAACAAAACGTAAACGAGACATATGAACGACTTGAGAAACTTGGTGAAGGAAGTTACGCCACTGTCTACAAATGCAGGTCAAAGTAAGTTAATGGGTGTAGACGCTTATAAAAATGCACTGTGTTAGAAAGTCAGGGATGCGAATGCCGTGTGGTCTACCCTCGGGTCTAACCAAAGACTTTCTTCAGAATTGATGGCTCTACAGTAGCTCTCAAGGAAATTAAATTGCAATTTCAAGAAGGTCTACCGTTCACGGCAATCCGGGAAGGTGCCAATTTGCTATGAAGTGTTTTGTTAACAACGAACCATTTCGAACCTTTTCAGCATCCCTTTTGCGCGCTCTACGTCATGCCAATATCGTTTGTCTACATGATATTTTTCATCAGCATAATCAGTTAACATTTGTATTCGAATATATGGTGGGAAATGTCTGATTATTTCGACTCTATTGCTGTGAAGACTTTCTGGAGCGAAGTCCTGGCAGTGATCGTTCAAATTTTTCAGAAAATGGATCTCAGCAAGTATCTTGAGCGTCATCCGACGGGTGTAGACGCTTTTAAAATCAAACTACTTCTATTTCAACTGCTTAGAGGACTTGATTTTTGTCATAAGAAGAAGATATTGCACAGGTAGTCAGTGGTATTTTTCCAAGTTTTCTTAGGTATTCAATTACTCTAATTCTTACACATGCTTTCCTTCAGGGATCTCAAACCCCAAAATCTGCTGCTCGATGACATGGGCGTTCTTAAGTTGGCCGACTTTGGATTGGCCAGAGCGAAATCCGTTCCAAGCAGGACCTATTCACATGAGGTCGTCACACTCTGGTACCGGCCACCAGACGTACTGCTCGGCAGCACTGAATATTCAACATCGTTAGATATGTGGTGAGTTGTTATGCTTATCACCTTCATAGCTGTCTCGTTTCCAGATCGAATCAGTCGTATATGTTTATAGGGGAGTTGGATGTATATTTGCTGAAATCTGTACAGGAAAAGCGCTTTTTCCCGGTACAAAAGATGTTGATGATCAGCTCGATAAGATTTTCAGTGTTCGAGGTCTTCCGAATGAAGCCCATTGGCCGCAGGTGAGTTTTGACGTGTCTGAAACTCCTATAACCATTCACCAACCTGTGCATTGATTCACAAGCATGCGGAAGAGGAGATGTAAGGTCGGGCGCTATGTATTGAGTTCAATGCGCGCGTTCATTGAACATCGACGAAGGACCCTTTGAAGAGCTTTGTGGAATGAGAGCCTGCTTTCCAGGTTAAGCATCTTCCTCATTATGCGCCTCAGAATTTCCCACCGTATAAAGAGGTCCCGTTCAAGCAAGTGAATATGCTTTTCGCCAAACTTCAAAAGTCTGGCAACGATCTACTTGCCATGTTTCTGCAGGTACGTAGTTCTTCGTAGTGTGATTAGTTCTGTTTGAATACAAATAGTGGGAATTTGGGACTGTTTCAATACACCAATAATATCACGTATCCATTGCACATTTTCGCAATTAGCGTACGGATCCTCGAAATTGTTTTAAGTTCATATTCCTTGCTGGTGCAAATTTTTATTGATGCATTCCATATTTCAGTTAAAGCCCGAAGATCGCATATCAGCCAGCTGCGCTATGCTTCATCAATACTTTGCGGGTCTTCCTCGAAATATCCATATTTTACCTCCAATCGCTTCAATTTTCTCACTGCCTGAACTTCGGCTAGGAAAGCGATGACGTCTACCAACTGTAGTTCACTACACAGATCAAGTAGGGGACGCACGTGAAATGCAGTGGAGCTCGTTGTCTGGTCGCGGACAACTGCTACAAACTCATTATGTACGAGTTTCCTGATACCATCTACGCCTCTTATAGCTTACCATGTGTGTAACTGTTTTCTGTTGCATTTTTCTACGTTGTTAGAATGTTACAGCTAGAAGTCCTACAGATTGTTTTCTCAGATAACGTATAGTCTCTATAAGTTTCCAGGGAAATACAAACACATCAAGACGATGCATATGAACTTCACATTGAAAATTTGTGATTTATTTGCCAGACTGTCCCATTGAGATCGTTTGAGTTCTGGTCTACAGTCTTTGCCAAATATGTACTCTATTTTAACTTTTATATTTTTTTCACCAATCAATACCACGGGTGGTGCATTGCTGTTTGTTGTTTTGTACTTGGAATATAACTGATTTATGAATAGCACGGAAAGTGTGATACTCTTATTCAAATCAGAAGAAACTGAAATATATTAATTGCAATTAGGGTTATGAAACTTTTCCTGGGATCGACTTTCTATTAACCTCGGCGTTGTTCTATAAATCAGTGTTTTATTCTTGAGCGGACACTAGGTTGTCAATAACAAGGTTTATCTAATACTGACTGAAGCTTCGGCGCCTTCCTCTCCTTTAGGGTCCAGAAAGGTCAAATTGACCCGCAATCTACTTACTCAAACGCTTTCATAACCGAAGCAGTGAAACTGCGTACATGAAGTCTTAGCATTTCTTCGTTGCATATTATTTTTTTTCATAGAAAAATATTGTGTAGAATACAACGCCAATGATGCTGAGATATAAGCAAAAGTGAAACTTCAGTTGGCCTTCGAACCTCTGGTTACCTTACTGAGGATTACGTGCTGTCCACCTCACTAACTGAGACCGTTGCTTTGTCTTTCTCTCAGCCATTTTTTCTCTCTCTTTGCACTCTTTTTATTCATTCCTGTTGACAGCTGATTGCTGATAGTATTGATAGAGTAAAAGCTAGAGAAGGAGTCTCTGCTTTATCCTTCACAAGTCTTCCAATTTGAAGACCAGCCCGCAAATAGTCATACATGGGTAAGGAGTATACCTGGCTGAGGTCCAAAAATTAGCTTGACATATGGTGCGAGATCATGAATGACCGCAAATCATTCCCATTTGCCCCTCATTTTTGAATTTCTGGAATTTATCCAAACCTCTTCAAGAGTTTTACGCGCTGGCGTTTTAGACTTTTGTGCTACAATAGTGATTTTAACTTCAAAATCTTCTCCACTAATCTTTGTTCCCTATGCTTGCCTAGTGGGGTGCTTTGTTTGTCTTTGAATTTCTCAACTAGATACTTTTATGCGGATCCAGAGTGGTCTACACATTTGGCTGAGTAGGTTGCTTGTTAATTTGATCTTTCCATGCACTAAAGAAGGCGAGACCGTTGTAATATCAGGCAGTATTGAAGAAACCTTGTTCTTGACAACCTTGTGTCTGCTCGAGGATAAAACACTGACTTATAGAACATTAATAAACCTCATTGGACGAGACCGCAAAAGTTGCAGACACATGATCTGGTAGGATATGTGCAGAACGGTGATTAGAGGCGCCGTGCAACGCAGATCTTTAATGATGCTGAGGTATTTGCAAAACTCGAAAGCTCAAGCCGCTTTCGAGCCCGCGATCACGGGGTTATACACGGGAGAAATAGTAATATCCAGTAAATGAGAAGTTAAGTAAAACTAAAAAGAAAAAAGTTAAGCATTGTGATTTTGACTGCAGCTCCAGTAACTGGGTTCAGTACCGATTTGTGCTTATCAAATTATTCCCACTGATGGGTGATCGCTGATAGCACAGCTAGCGTAAAAAACTAGCTTGGAAAAAGGTAAAGTGAGGACCTCAGTGGTGCAATATGCAAGACGTCCCCCCGAAAAGGATAAAGAGAGGTACAAAGCTGGCCTAGGGCCCATTAGTGCAAATACCTCAGTACTACTGTGATTTTATTTCAGACAGTATCCTACTATAAGCGCGTGTAGTACTGCGATTGGTGGCGCGCTACAATATACATGGGATCAATCCCGGGCCCCAGGCTCACCAAACCTTCCATCCCTCTGGAGTCGGCAAATTGTTACCAGACTTGTCTAGGAGGTTAACAGCACTAATTAGATACATTGGTAAAAGACTGAAAGTCACTGTATAGGCCATATGTGTATCCAATCACCTCTAGCAATACTTGGTGAAGTCGAATAATGGCGCAACCCCTGAGGATTGATCAACACCGGAAGCTCTTTTTATCTTTACCATGCTGTGAAAAAATACTAAGCTGTAAATAAAAAGGTAAAAACTTAAACAGACGTTTTTAGTTGGATCCCGCACCCCAGATCCTCTATCACTCTTTTGTAAACAATGTGGTAACATACTTGTCTGAGAAGCAATGATGTTGAAATGGTACATCAGTACTCCGCCGAAAGTCGCTCTCTAAACTAAAAAATCACTTCCGTGTTGCTCACGCTCATCGTCTACTTTTGTGGTCACCGAGTTAAGATTGAACACTGTCTTTGCTACCGATCCATGTAATGAAGTTTATAACTCTTAACTTGCTTAAAACATGTTAGTACAACATATTTTTTTCACATTTGTAATGAAGTCTTCGATGAAGGGAGCTGAAGAAGAACGCTTGTGTCTCACTTGTGAGATACACTGTGGTAATGACTAACTTCCTCTTTCTATGATGGTCTCTAAGAGTTAAAACAGACCAGTCATTACAAAAAAATACTTCCGTTATATCTGCAAGTTTTCACGTTCTGCCTTGCAAGTTGAACAATCGCACCGGCAGTGTATCTGTCTTGTTTATGATGTCATGTACTACCGTTAGACGGATTTAACTCCAGAGCTCTGCAAAGATGTCTATTAACATAACTTAGAAACCAGAAGAATCGCATTTATAAGCAGAAGCACAACTACAACGACACCACAACTGTGACAGCCCGACATTTGCTACCTTAGCAGAAATCGATGGTTATCTTGATCATTTCAACTGCCATGAATTATTTATGTAATATTATAAACTGGTCTTCTTTAGCCGATGAGAGGGTACAGGTCTTCGTTGCCGTTGTCGTTGCTGTCGGTGTTGTTGGTGTCGTTGGTCGATGGCTGACGTTTTGGCGATTTCGCCTTCCTCACAGCCTGGACGTACTTTCTATAAGAATACTTTAATCATTCGGTGAAAAAAAACGGCTAAAGTATTAATGAAGGTCAAACTTTTAAATAGACGCCATACCGAACAGAAAGGCTACTCACCGTGATGTTACGAGTGTGACTGGCCGATGCGTTGTTTACGCGGGATCGCGAACGAGGTACACCAAGGGGTCAAAATATCATTTTGAAATAGAGCGCCAGGTCGGTCACGCGTGATAGTGAGGCATTCGTCCTGTTTTGCGCGTTGTTGATTCCTGCGCTAGGATCCGCACAGATCAATCGACAGACAAAAGACCCACTTTCTACGCCGCTGCTTAAAACATCGAATTATTCGTAGCTTTATAAAGCGTAGGAAATTAAACGAAGTATGCGGCTTGCGGCTAGTAGTAGCGGAACGCATGGTTGACGACTTTGATAAAGCCTGTGGAAAGATTGGTCTTCGACTAAATCTCACAAAAACGATGTCCATGAAGAACGGATTGGTTTCGCATGCTCCATTTACGCTCAACGAAACGAATATCTCCGAATGTTCTAGTTGTATCTATCTAGGTCGGAAAATCAATATGATGAACGACATAGCTCCAGAGCTGAGCAGAAGAAAATGAGCGGCTTGGGGAGCTTTCAGGAGCATCGAGGGTGTAGTGAAAATAACAAAGAACACTCGACTCCGTACCCACCTTTTCGACTCAACGATACTTCCTGCCCTAACGTATGCGTCAGAAACCTGGTCGCTGCGTAAGCGGGATGAAAGGTCACTCAGCGTTATCGAACGCGCAATCGAAAGGACGAAGCTAGGAGTATCCCGTTCCACACAAGTAAGAGATGGGATCCGAAGCTCCGATCTGCGTCAACGATCAAAAATCAAAGATGCCGTTTTGTACGCCAAACAGCCGAAGATAAGGTGGGCCGGACACGTAATGCGTATGAGTGACAATCGATGGACAAGAGCCGTTAGTGACTGGATTCCTCAGGATGTCAAACCTACTGCAGAAAGACCAGCGACCCGATGGTCAGAGTTCTTCACGAAAACCCGGGAAGAAAGATATGATGCTCGACGAGTCTCTAGAGTGAGCAGAACCCACTGGGCTACTCTTGCACGCGACAGGGAAAAGTGGGAGATTTACTGGCGCCCGCTCGAGTCACTAGACGATGAACGGGACTACGAGTGATAAAGGTGATGCGGCTTACCAGAGAGGTCTCAACAAGTCCTGAGCATCGAAATAAAACTACTGCGCATTTCATTGCGATGCACACAGAACGAAATAGTTCCCAGGACCGACTTTCTATTAACCTCGGCATTGGAATATGAATGTGTCGTTTTCTTGTTCAGCAATCGCAAGGTTTTTAAACAGCATACATTTATATGAAATGCTGAGATATTTGCAAAACTCCGGGCCACAGGTGTATGCGGTGGGGAACGAACACGCGTTGTTGTCTTTACCGGGTAGCAGCGCACTTCACCACTACACCATCCGGTCCCCACTGCATACACCTGTGGTCCGGAGTTTTGCAAATATCTCAGCATTTCATACGAGTTATATTTCGCAACATACCCTGCCATTAAGAAGAAAAAGGCAGTAAATAAAAGGCTTAAGAGCATACATTTACTTCCATAGAAAAACACAATACAATACAACGCTAGCTGACGTTTCGGCAGTATCGCCTTCTTCAGAGCCTGGAAGGGTATGCTGATATACAATCTACTAGGCCAAACGCTTCAATAACACTTACACAAAGACGAAAGACTCTTTGGTAATTACACGATCAACAACTTCTCGAAAAAACCCACCG